ATATAGATTTTGATATTAGTTCCTTAAATATTTCTTAATGTATATTTGAGAAATCTCAAATTTTTTAAATATCAAGATCGATCTTTTAGATTTAGGATTATAATTAAAAATTCGAAATATTTGATTCTAAATTACTAAAAATCTACTTTTATAGTTATAATATTAGATACTAATTCTATTTTATAAATTAGTATTTAAAAAGTTTATATATATAAATTAATTATTAAACTAGATTATACTGTAAATGTTTTATTATAAAAATTCATTTAATATAATTAACTTTTTTACTATTTTCTCGTCTTGGAACTAATGAATAATATCCTAATTTTAAGACTAATATCAATTATTCATTATTTAAATTATTATAAGTAATTCTCTCCTTTTTCTTTAATAGCTGAATTAGATTCCTCATCGCCAGCAGGCCGTTCGTTATCCAAAATGATATTTAATATAATACTCGTAAACAAGAAATATGAACTCGAGAAGTAGCAAACTAGTAAAAAACGCACGCTCCATGTCAACCCGGTCTTGTTTCAACATGGATATTCAACATGGATATTCAACAAGGCTGAAGATTTTTTTGAAGACAGACGAGGCCTCAATTTCGCCTTGTCTTCGAATTTCTCAAATTTTACAACCATTCAATTCCAATCATTTGTTTCATTCCTCGTCCCATTTCCCTCAATATGCCACCTCGAATTTCCATTCGTTCAGTCCAGCCATTGAGATTGAACCTTACAAGTCCCAATTCACGCAATGCTTCAATCTTGGAGGGATTAAAACCCCTCTCATGCACATCCACCGGATACAAGAATATTTCTCAACAGCGACCCCTCAGCAGCAGCGCCCCTCTCCACTTTCGCAGCACCTCACCTCTTCTTAAGAAGAAAGACAAATCCAAGTCTTCTTTCTCCTCCGATGAAGCCTCGGAAGATTCTTCTGAAGCAGTAGAAGAAAGTGATCCCTTTGATTTTTCTACTCTGCAGGCGGGCATTGACAAGAGTCTCGAGAAACTCAAGAATGATCTGGGGAAATTGAGGACAGGGGGTCGCTTCAATCCAGAGGTGTTGGAAGCTTTACGGGTAAAATTGGATAAAGATGCAAAGGAAAGCTTCCGCTTGGGAGATTTGGCACAAGTGTTGCCGAAGGGGGGGAGGAGTATCGTATTGATGGTGGGAGAGAAAGATGTATGTTCTATCAATTGCTATCCCGATCCAAATCCCATATTCTCTTTTACTCTTACAAATATCGCTTTGTCTTTCCATATTTCACACAAACTAACTCCCACTCCAGCACGTAAAACCCATAACGTCCGCCATCCAAGCCGCGGCCGCCCTCCAACTCCAACCGCAACCCGATTCCCACAATCCTCTCGCCCTAAATATACCCATTCCGCCCCCCACCAAAGAATCCCGCGATCTCGCGCTGCAAGCGGCTTCGAAAGCAGGGGAACAAGCTGGTGTGGGTGTGAGGAATGCGAGAGGAGCGATGCAGAAGAAGTTGAGGGCCATGGAGGTGAAGAAAGTGGTGAGGCCGGATGATTCGAAGAAGGCGCATAAGGAGATGGAGAAGGTGGCCGAGAAAGGGACTGCGGATGTCAAGAAGTTGGTGGAGGCGGCGAGGAAGGGGATGGAGCAGGCTTAGAAAAGTGGTTGTAGAGGTTAGAATTGCGAGGGAATGAAATTGTAAAAGTTAAATTTTATGATGGTATATGATAATCTTTTGTATTATACCATACTTAGAAATATGAATACACTGTACAGTACATACTCTACCTATATGGTGGGTACTTTGCCTTCCGTTGTTACTGCGTTAAATTCATGCTCTGTAGCTTCTCTTGTAATGACCTCAAGTCCTCTGGCAAAAAAGTCTCGTTCTTCCTAGCGAACCTTTCAATGTCTCCCAATATACCTTCCTTCACATCTCCCGGTTTCTCATACACACCAGCCACCATCTCCTTCAGAACCGCCTCCTTCTCCTCTTCCCTCAACCCTTCAAACTTAAAATCCTTATGAACCTTCCAATTAATTTCATCTATCCATTCCTCCTGTCCATCCCTCCACTTTTCAATCCCCTCCTTCTCCTCTTTACTCTCAAACACCGTCCCAAATCCCCTCTCCACATTCGCTAAATGTTGTGCTGGCGGCGTTGGGGTATCTTTTTGTGCTAATGTCCCACTCATTACTTGCATCTTATAGATTATCGATTCCTTCAACCCATACGTACTCCCACTTGTCGCTATAGCTGGCCCCCAACTTTCCAAATCCGACATCGATGTGACGGGGTTGTATGATGTCCATTCGCCCCCTTCCTGACTATTCAAATACTCTTGTTCTTCGACTGTGTAGACAGGATCGTATTCATCTATATCATCTGCTTTCGGTCCTGGGGGTTTCCTGCCACCTCTTTTACCACCACGACCCCGACCCCGGCCACCGCCTCGACCAGGACCTACTCCCCCGCCTCCCCTTCCAGCTCCCCCAACTCTCATGCCAGCTGCAGCTCCTCCTCGTCCGCGATAATTGGGACTATGACGAGCGTTGGGTCCTCGATCCTGTTGACCGCTATCGTCAATACGGCGGGTAATCCTAAGAGATTGACCGGGCGCCGGGCGCGCTGCTAGTGAACGTGCGTCGAATCCGCCGCGAGAGGGTTGTGATGCGAGTGACGAAATGTCGTTCACGGCATTGGAGCTGCGTTCTGCGCGGGAGGATTGAGGTTGATCTGGGAATTGTTAATATAGATTATAATAAATAATTTCCACATAAGATTTGGAGTTCGAAGGTGATCGTCTCCGCCACATTACAAAGAGTAAAATCAGACCCTCATATACCCCCAAAAAGAAAGCATAGGACTTACCATCCCCCTCACTCCTCCTGACCGAACTACTGAAAGCCCTCAAACTCGTCGCAATTCCGTCCGACACCCTCGCAAAATCATGGGCAAGAGGTCTGCCACCCCCAATCACCGATTGCACATGCCGTGTAAACATAATGTGCAACAGAATTCTTGTTAGTTATTGAATTGAGATCTCCAATCAATATCAATGTTGATGTTCTGGAGAAAATATTATTGATGCCTCAGGTGTACTTGCATGTGATTCTCGAGGCTGGTGACGCAAGGCTATCTGCGTTATTACAAGGCAAAACCAAAGCCTTGCAAAACGCCCCGAGCTCGTGTTCAACAAGTCTTTCAAATCCCCCGGAACAGTTTTATTTGAGATCGTGGAGCTTCAAACTTTCCAAATCTGGAAAGAAAATTGTACTTTTCCCAAAAGCCCCATTTTTGAAAGTGCAGACAGACGTGCAACAAAACCTTTGGAAAGAGGAATATCCCCCACCTTTTGTAACCTACCAGGGTGATTTTAAACATCAACAAACAACAACATTAACATCAATTTTACCAATATTGTTTCACATATGCTTTGCAGTTTGCTAGAAGAGAAGCGCATTTATCATTCAATACGCAGAGGGGCAGACGAAAAAACTATACAGTTACAATCAACTCCTCACTCCAACCTCGACTTCAACAAATAAGTCCTCCCTCCTCACATACACTCAGAATGCTCCGCCGCGCCCCCACATCCATAACTCTCACGACGGAAGACATAGCCATCTACGAAGACTCACGACAAGCGGAACGCAATGCAGAGGAAGATACAAGGGTGAAAGCTGATGCGGCGCGCCGTAAAAAAGCGAGGGAGAGATCGGAATTTGGGAGTATTTGGGGGAATAATTATAGGGAGGCGCAGTCGTTGGCTGCGCAGATAAGAGTGGATAATGCGAGGGAGGCACATATAGGGGGTGGTAGTGGTAGTGGTAGTGGTAATGGTGACGGTGATGGTGAAGGGAATACGGAGAATGAATTGAGTGAGGATGAGGATGTGCAGATGGAGAGGGAGAGGGAGGAGCGGGCGAGAGAGAGGGAGAGGGAAGAGAGGGCGAGGGAAAGGGATAGGTCTAGGGTGCAGGAGAGGGAGGCGAGGGTACAGAGGAGTAGGGAGGATAGGCTGGGGCTAGGAGGTCGGCGGATCGGGTAGATAATGTACGATGATGGGTTTGGGATAATATTTCGGTCATTTGATTTTATGGATTCATCGAGGCAAAAGCATTAGATCGTGGAGATACCTGAGTGTATGGATATTGGAGTATATTGGAGTATATGGTTGGATGCATGGATGCAGGGATACATGGAGTTACAGGACAATCTACTACCACTTCAAAAAAATAGCGAGCCGACATCACAGTTATCACCAGAAGTATTTGACAGCACTTATTTATGCCCTCTTTGTCGGATTTGAAAGCCGGTTACATTCTGCATCATCTTTCACTTGGGATATTCTCTAGCTTGGACACATGAGGTTACAGAACATCTGCTACCACTCTACCGGCATTGAATATGAAATATCAAATATCAAACCTACATTCTAAATGACCAGACTTTTAGTAAAACATGACCCCCTTTCTAATTAGAAAACTAATCACAATCAACAACATCACTCTCAAAACATCGACTCCACTACCCACATGCACCACCTATCAATAGAGAACCATTCCAATCTATTCCATCTCAAGCTCCAACTTCCTCCCCAAAATTCTTTTCTCCCATCACATCACATAAAGATACCCACCAACTCGCGATGGAGGGCTAATTAAGTGTAAATGTAAATGTAAACCTTCTTCCACATCTCATGCCCCGAAGCTAGCCATCCATCAATCCATCCACCGAGCTTTTACATTTCTATATTGATATCATCTCCCTCCTCTTTCCCCCTCAAGAAGAAACATTCACTACCATCTAATATCTGAATCGCATTTCAACAATCCTACCAGTGATTCTGTCTTTATCTCATCTCATCTCATCTGTCTGAAGCTATCCATTTATACTTTTATACTTTACTCTATACTCACACAATTTACTTACGTAGCCCATACATACATACTTCACTCCCACCCCAAGGTCTACGCTCAAATACAAAGCCTCATTTTTGGAGATGATGATGGTAAGTATGATATTCCCTGGTCGAAGCGAACAACATTTCAACTGAACCTTATTACTGCCATTAAATTGAGTGAAAACAGAAGTGAAAATAGGTAACTTCACTTGTATCAAACTTGACTTCCTCGCCTTCGAATATCGTCGTACATATAAGGACATCACTAAACTTGAACACTCTCGTAAACATCACATCTCACACACACAGAGAACATATCAGAGACAAGATACTGAATCGTCTGCATTTATTAACTATTTAGCCGATTGTTTCTCCCTCAGCATCTAGGACTTCTCCAATCCTCTCTCTGTCCGGGTACGTATGGGCTGAAGGACCCAAGGACTCTCTTCGTGATAATATACCTTTAGCCCGGCAAAATTAATCTCACAAACGCCTCCATTTTCTCATTCCTAATATAGACCTTTTGAGAATAATAGCAAACCCAGCCTCTCCATGTGTAAGTTTGCTGATTGTTTATTGCCGTGACGCCTTTTCGCTAAATGCAGATCAATTAATGCTAAGAAAATTAAGATGAAAGAGGTTGGGAAGAAAGAAGAAGTTCTGTTGTCCATTGCCATCAAGAAGAGAATGAAGGTTTAGGTTTGGGCTTGAAGTTGATTTTGATAGTCTGCTTCTTAGGTACATCGGCGGGGGTAACCGTAACGGGTGGTGGTGCATGATGTTGTGCCGAATCCGGCAAAGGTTTTCGGCCTTCAGGAAGGGGTTTTCGGATAGGTGCTGCGCCTGAAAGTGCAGTTGCCGGCTTCTTGGCAAATGATGGTGTATGAGCCGACGAACCAGATGAGATAGAAATAGCAGGACTGGCTCTGATCGATTGTGTGGATACTGAAGAAGGTTTTGGGGAAGGCCTCGGAGAAGGTCTTGGAGAAGGTCTCGGGTTCGGTATGAACTGAGATGAGGAAGAAACTTTTGCCTTAGGGTTAGGAGGCGCCGAGGTGATACGCCTTAACTTGTGACCGGGAACCTTAAGCTTGACGATCTTTCTTTGTTTCTTATCCTTGTGTAGCGAATTGGAACTCTCTGCAATATCTGCTGGAAGAGGTCGTTTGGGTGGTCTCATGCCCCCTGACGAACTAGAAAGTTTCACTGAGCTAGAAGTTTTGATTGTTCCTGCAGAATTGTGTCCTGAGCTAGGGTATTTCATTGTCCCTGCAGAGCTGGAATGCTTAGGGGTTCCAGCAGATGGTACCGAGAAGCTGGAATGCTTAGGAGCTCCAGCAGATGGCACCGAAGAGCCGGAATGCTTCGGAATTCCCGAGGATGTGCTGCCAATCTTGAGTCCAGCAGATGGATTGCCAATCTTAAGAGCAGATGGAGTCCCAATCTTAAGAGCAGATGGACTCCCAATCTTGAGAGTAGATGGATTGCCAATCTTAAAAGCTGATGGATTAGCTATCTTGAGCTTAAGCGGCATCGATGGTCTCTCTTCTGTTGGCCCTCGAGATGGTTGGACGACAATAGGTAAGTCAACAGGTGGGTGAGGCATGGCCATTGCCTTGTTCTTGTTGAAAACAATTTTTTTCACGACAGCAGTCCTAACTTTCTTGGTTTGTTTGAAAACCATTCGACCCTAGATATAGTTAGTACAAAGAGCATCAACAATAAGATCCTTATTTGACAGCATACCTTGCCGCGATGCTCGGCGGTCCAATAGCGAGGATACTTCAGTTTCAAGGTCAAAGACTCTTTAGGATAACAAAACATGGTGCAGAGGTCAAGGAAATCATTCTGTTCTGCCACGGTAATCACAGGAGAGAGGACAGCTTTCCATAAGGCATTTTTCAAATCAGTGTTTCCTCCAACCTCCAACTTGAGTGAAGCAAGTGCGCCGATTATGCTGCTACTTCGCTCCGCCTGTTCCTGTCGTGCTGCCGTGGAAGCTTCTTCAATTATTAAGCCATCCTTCGCCACAGGGGCAGCAACTCGTTTGGTTTTGTATTCGCCAAGTCCAAGGACTCCCAATCCATAATAGAACACCTTTGTCAGCTCACTTCGGACCCACGGCGATGGATCTGTACTCATGGCAATCACGAGTAGACATGCCACAGCGGTATTTTTCAAAAACCCGAGGTCGGCAAGTGCCTCAAACGCCTTGATTCGTACACGTGGAGCAGTGCCATCGTGAAGGTATTGAGCATAGTCAAGGGCATCCAATGGTATGACACCCGCGTTCATCAATCTCAGCTTGCACTCTATGACTGTGATCGTATAGATATTCTGGTAAGAATCTGTCCACTCATCCATCCTGCTATATCGGTCAAGCTCCTCTAAAACGATATCTCGGAATTTCTGAGGTTCATCAACTTCTTCGGCATCGTCGAGTTGAAGCTCATCGTTATTCATGCCCTTAGCACCTGGAATCAACGAGTCTGCTAACGACGTCAAAAGGTTCGCAACCTTGAAATAATCCGAGTAGTCATTGTTTCCGTTGTCATTGAAGCGAAGCTGGTCAAGTATGAATTGTCGCGCTCTTCTGGGGCAGAGAGAATCGTATAAGCTTCTGATTCTTGACATAGCTTTTGGAATGGCGCAGTCAATCCAATAAGCTTGCTTGTCAGAGAAATCATTCGACCTAGGCATCTTCGTGCCTGGGAAGCAAAAGAACTCCTGGAAAGCCTTTTCGAGATGGCTAAGACCTATCCACTTGACATCCTTTTCTACCGCATGCTTAGCAAGAGACTTTGCAGCCATTGTCCGGATGCCATAAAAGTAGCGCCGGTCCATCAATGTTCTAATCAAGAATGTAGCGACAAGTGGATGTGGAGGAGCTTTGTCCAAGTATACCATGGATTCGTATTGAGCCGAAATATCGCGATCTTGCTGAAGCTGAGAAACATACATGTATGCTTCCATACCCGTGAACTTCTTGTCGCAAATCCATTCAAAGTCAGCATCAACGCGAATCCACTCGTATGATTCTGCTTCCATCTTTGCTTCTGTAATTGGGTCCCAATCTCTTAAACCCCACTCTTGGATATCTTGCTGTGACTGCAGTACATCACCTAGGCAGTAAATGAGAGCGTCGTCATGATTTTCGGCATTGTTTTCCATGGCTGTACCTGCATTTGCACGTTCCTTCATACGTCTATTGCGCTTGAGACGCTTGTATTTGGTGTTATACGGAATCTCAATCTTTGACGTCTTCTCTCTAATCATAACGATATGTTCATAGGGTGTGCCATCAGCCTCGTGGATTCGAATGGTCAGAGGTCCAGTAAACGTGTTCTGGGCCTTTGGTGCAGTCACCCCGCTAGTCTTTTCCTTGAAAGTTCTGTAAAAGCCATCCTTATGCAATCTGGGTTCCGTCTCGGTGTTTGCCTGTGTCTGTGTAATTGTCATTTCCACACATAATCTCTTTTTGTTGAACTTTTGTGCAATCGTAAAGTGTGGGCATCCTGCGCCAAGAACCCATTGGTTGAAAAAAGAATCGGTATCTCTGTACTTGGTGATTTTCTCACAGCTCTTGCGGAATCCTTCTGTCGATAACGTGGAATCGGCACCTCCGATAGCATTCGCGTTAACAATCATCTTAGAAATGACTCTTGAGATACCAGTACCTCCTTGTGCCTTCGCAATACGCTTGTCTAAAATGAATAGAACAAGAGGTGCTTTCAACTCCATAAATTCTCGAGTAGCCTCACATACATCCACAATCTCACCAAGGGCAAACAGGGATGGTCTGTCAACATCCAACTCAACAAGTCTGTCTGAAGTTTGCTTTTGGCGGAACATGAATTCATTGTTTCCACAAAGATTCTTCATGAAAGTATTTGTCATGAAATGGGAGATTCCAGCAATCAGCCATCTATCAGAGCGTTGGTCTGGCACAATACTAACACCAATATATTGGCTAGCTATGGCATGAACCAGCTTTCTGATGTTATCCATCTCCGGATCAATAATGTCTTCCTGGAATAAAAGTCGACTGCTGCAAATGGAGAGTGATGCAGTGTGCTCGGTGTCATTAACCTGGTCATCTACAAAGACAAATTTTGACTCTGAAAATGGAAAACTGCCTAAACTGAGTACAAAGTGATCAATGGTATGAGCCAATGGTGCACAAGTGTTCCTCAATTCTTCTGTTCTCCCAGGTAGACAGTATCCATAAATTGCAGTGGACTGTCCTTGCCCAAGTATTTCCTCATCTTCTCCCTCTCTGTACTCTGACAAGTCGACCTGTTCAAATGGACCAATGGAAAAAACCTACATGTGTTGCAGCTATGTCAGAAGTGCACTGAAAAGATACAATCTTTTTTGAACTATCATCCAAATCAATCACTTCATCAACTTGTTCCCCAGAGCAAATCACTGCCATCTCTAGTAGCTTCTCCTCATCGCTGAGGAAGACCTCATCAATGTCCATCTTTTCGGAAGTCCCATTGGCATGTCCAGATTTGTGGTTTTGGAAGTTGGATCGTCGCTTGAGCGCATCTCCGAGAGTTCTCGAACATTTGATGGAAATATCCCACGAACATCTCATCGCCGAATCATCGACACAGGGGAAGATACAGCATGCCACGCCTCGTTCCATAGAATGTTTAGTATAGACATGAGGAAATCTCACATCTCCTTCTTCAACCCCTACAAACTGCAGACCGTCTCGGATTCGAGTGGTAACGAAGGGAATGGTAATGGTCAAGGGTTGAAATCTAGAAACTTGCTCTGTAGCTGTCTTTGCGGTTGAAACAGGAACAGAAGCTGGACCTCCTTCCAAGGCAACAGATGAATTGCGAGCCGCACCAACAGCACGTTGAGTGACCGGGGTTGCTGCCTTGTCCGAAAATGGATCAACTTCCTCAATCTTCACACTACCTGGCAGCTCAATCTCTATTGTGCCTGCTAGCTTGTTATCCGAACTCATGAACTTCACTCGATCCCTTTGCATTTTATGCGATTCTGTATCCCATGAATAATACTCGGGTACTTCCAATTTCTTGTGGGGGTCTTCGTACGAGAAGGACGCAATACGACCGTTGACCAAAACCTCTTTCTGTGGTATAGAGCATTGACGGGCGTGAATGTGTATGGTTTGAAGTTCCTTCGTCTGTGGCAGAATTTGAATTTCGGTTTTGCCTCGCAAGGTTTTTGTTGAGAAATCAACTTCGAGCTCAACTTTCTGATGTACCACTATGAAGCCATAGTCCGCAGGTTCGTCGTTCGCGCTGTGTGCAAGTCCACCTTCACGGTCGTTGAGATTCAGTGAAAAGGGAGGCATTTTCGTATATGTTCGTTTCCGTGTCGCAGAGAATCGTAGAGTACTGTTGATTCTTCTAAGTTGAATATGATATTCAAAATACTTTGCTACTTATTTATGCAACCGTAAACTTGTGCTGGCTAGACTCCCGAAGGTGAGAGCCAGCAACAGACCTAGTAAATCGATCGAACCAAGCTGCCTCGCATGTATTGTAATCACATGCACTTGAAATGGCTTGGTTGTTGATATTCGTGTTGGATAATGAGCAGATCCGGATGCGATACAGAAAGAAAAGGCGTGGCCGTTCGTGAGTACTTTTGACAATATCGAGTAAATCGCAAATCGCAAGTCGTAGCTTGCAGATTTGTCGATGGAGTAGATGAGTTGGCTCCGTCGAGAAAGAGACAGTAGCTTGTGCGAAAATCGGGGTTGTAGTAAGAACCGAATAGATGTCGCATGCCGTACAAGAGTTGGTTGGAAAGAAAGTGGTCGTTACGGTAGATATGATTAAACTCTACCAAGTTACGTAACTATCGTGTCCCACCACCAATGACGAAAGTATGAATGAAACTAGGTAGTGCATAAGAAAAATTTGAATGGAATAAGTTGCGAGACTGTATGTGCAACAAGTTTCTAAAGGTACAAAATAGAAATATCGAAATTCTTGGGTACTTGAAGATGGGCTGTCCAAAGTCGTCGCGCCTTACCAGACAATTTTGAAAGAGGTTAATTCTCGAGGGCACGCGAGGCTGATGGAAAGCTTTAACGCGCTAAGCGATGTGCAGCTATCAGAAGGCCAATCACAGTTCCGCTTAGTCATAGAAGAAGAGCCGATATTTAACCTCAACTCAACTTTTACTCAAGTCACTCAACGTTTTTCCCCCGCATCGCGTGAATTGATGATGAGTCATTGACTCCCCGCTATTATTGAGATTGATGAACTACCTAGAACTACCTACCTAGCAACTAGAACGGCTGGCTTCAATCCTGTTTCCATATGTACAAGTGTCATTTGAGTCAGAGTCAGAGTCAGTCAGTTTCGAATAGTGCGAACTGCAGTCTAGAAACCAAGAATTCTCGACTCTGCCTTGGTATTTGGAATTTATTTGAGTGATTTTGAGTGATTAGATGTCTATCAACTAGTATCAAGTACTAAATGCATTCCCAGTATTGGCTGCACTTGATACTTAGTTGCAATCGGTATACTAAGTTGTTGTTCCGAAATTCATGGCGTCTCAAACATTGAAGATTTCGAATCGGATCGGCAGTTCGGACTGTTGGAAGCCCTCGCCCGAGTTCTTCTAGTGTGATAGGCGACTTTCTCTAGACTTATCTAATTTTAAATTGCAATGGCGAGAAAATGGGAAAGGATGAAAGGAAAGGATGAAGGGAACGGATCAAGGGAACGGATCAAGGGAACGGATGAAGGCAAAGGAAAGGAAAGGGGAGGAAGGGAAAGGGAGGGGGAGAAGCTTAAGGGAGAAAAAAATGTTGGAAGACTAATAAAAGAGTTCCCAGACTTCGCAAATCAAATCATCAATCCAGTATCCAGTATCCAGTATCCAATATCCAG